TACTCACTCATTCACCCCTACTAATTGTCCATTATTTTCACCTTTTGATAAATTAACATAATTGATAGAATTTCTTCCTACATGGACACTAATAAACATTTATCTTCCATGCTCTCATGTGTCAGCCTTAGACTCGCCTATTATAACGTTAATTTTTAAATATAATAGGCATACTGATACAGAATTTTTGTCTTTGTAATGAACTGTTTAAAAATAAAGAAGTTTATAGGGATCGTGTTCATGGCTGCTTTTTGAGTATACATTGCGGAAATGCAATTCGCGAGCAAGAAATTGCTCTAGAAAAATAAATCAAGTATCCTGTTGTCATTAATACTTTTACAGCAAAGTCGGCCGAAACATCCGAGCATTCAGACATCAGCAGGTCACCCGAACGCACGCGTCCATTTTCTACTGGGTGCTTTACCCCGCATGGTTCATTGGTTTCGGGTGTTATTAAATGACATGCCAATAATTTTTTGTAGCGACAAAAAGTAGCTATCTTATTTCAATGCCCTTTCCCCTCTCCTTTGTTCAGGGTTAACGTTAAGCTATTGATGCTTCCAGTTGTAATCCGCTCCTAAGGAGACACTGCGCACAATGGGTGAAACCGCACAAAGATGCCCAAGAAAGAAGTAAGTAGAAAGTCTCTTAAGTAGGTTACTGTTAATGCTGTGGCATTCTGCTTGACATGGAGAAAGGAAATCCATAAACTTGGTGGAACGGTGCTTGGACACACCAGGATGTCTTACTTCTACTGAAAGCAATTAAAGCTTTAAGAGAAAACCTTATTCATAAAAACGAACTTACTACTATATTATCACATCTACAAGTGGTAACAGTAATTCCATGCATCATACATAAATAGTTATTTCAAATCATGCTCATCATTTGCCTAATATTTAGTTAAACATGATTTTTTTTTTGTCGCTATCTTTGAAAAGGACTGCCATCCGTCGTTGCGAAGAACACTTCTCTAGGAGCAGTACTAAAACTGTTTCAAGTGCGGAGCTCATAAAAGCGCAAACTTCCGTAAATTCTCTGAACCCCTTCAAAGTCATACCTCTCTCCCTGTACCTTTTCTACCCCATCTGGAGCAGAAACTTGGCCGTTATTTGATTCGAAGTGCAAGTTTGTCGTAAATCTTAGATCGGTGCACTTTAGTTTCAATAGAATTTATGTCCTTCAGATACAAAAGTTAGAGATATAGCTATGGAGGCGAAAAGGGAATAAAATGAAAATTGAGTTTAGCCGCCGTCTATACCGTTTCTTATTTTAGGTCTTTTGGTCCTTTTCCTAGAGTCAGTTTTTAATATTCTTTGGGGAAAAACGGAAAAGAAACAGAATGGCTAAATATATATTCGTAGTGATATTAAATTTAAGCTGTATCGTTTCAATGTTTTAAGGAAGTAAACTACTATGAAGCTGGATGAATTAACTTCCGAATGTTTCAGAAATTTTTTCCTCTTTTGAGCCTAAATAAATGTCTAAAGAGTTTTCCAGGAAATGGAAATGTGATTTTTAAAAAACGAGAAACGTTTGCTCTTTGAGAAAGTTCTGGATAGCAATATTATGGAATATTTAATGGAAGGGAATTTAATGTTGTTTTTAACTTCAGTAAATAAAATATATTCAATGCTCTTTTTAACTTCGGTAGATAAATTATATTTAATGTTGTTTTTAACTTCGGTAAGTAACTTGAAATAAAGTCTAAACCATAAATGATTTTTCACTTTATCTTCGTTTTGAATACGGATGATGAAAAGCGCTAATGGGGCACTGGAATTGCACGTATTTTGAATAGGTTTCAAGATTAGGAAATTCGAATCTTTGCACTTTTTTCCATTTGAATATTTCGGAACTTAATCTAAAAATATTTGGGAACACTAAATGACTTTCTTCTATGGCCTAATGAATAATACAAACATTTTGCTGCACTTTATTTAAGTTTACTCCTTTAAAACTTATTCGAGATACGTATATTCTCATTCAATTGATTCGGTTCTCACTTCCAGGCAAAGACAAAAATTGTAAAATACATAAAAACCTAAAACGCCAAATACATTTAAAAACAGTTAAAAAATTACAGTTAAAATTAGTTTTTACGCCAAAACAAGCAATTTGACCAGCGGGAAGGAAAACAAGAAATTTTCGGTGCACAAAATTGAAAATTAACTCTTGGTCCCATTGGGCAAATAGACAGTACATTAGGGAAGGAGGGCCTTCCAGACCTAGTGCAGCTTCGTAGTGCGACTGCCTTTACTTCGTATAAGGGAGTAAAAATAAATGAATGGACAGAAATTTATTGTAATAAAACCGTGGTAAAATAAAATAAAATATAAATAAGTAAAATAAATTCTAGAAAACTTAACCTTAAGTACGCTATCCTGTTATTTTGTATGGCAGGAGATATAAATTAAATAAATTGTTACATAATGTAACTTTATCGACAGGTATAAAACTTAGATAAATATAATAAAAGCAATAACTTACAAAGAATGCAGTTAAAAATGTGTTTAAGAATGCTTATTTTAAAAATGTACAGTTTCCTAAAGAGAAGGGAAAGTTGTCTGTCTCTCATAATTAAATTACAATCTGGATAAAAAAACGTATATAGAAGGAAAAATAAGTAAACGAGACCTTTTAATACGAGAAATCAAACGTGACTGAATCAAAATGAGAGAAAAAAACAAATGTAAAGTAATAATGTAAATCAAAATGAGCACTACAATACAGGAAAGAATTACTATAATATTATATTCGTAGTAATAATACTATAATAATATAATGTTATATTTATTAAGTTTATTAGAAGTGTGTAATTTTTTAAATTGGCTATATTGAACTGATCTTTTTTTTCAAAATATTGCAGTATTTTTGTAAATTTCATGCATATGTGTTTCAAGTTTTTCCTTAATATTAAATCAAATTTCGGCTATTCAAGGAAAAGGCAGAGTTATACATCTCTCAATAATTTCAAATTAAAGCTTAAAATAGTTAATTTTTCAGCGAAAAGACATATCAAAGTGATAACGAAAAAATAGATGTCTGTATTTTTTTCATTAATACAAAGCTTTTTATGTGTAAATATTGTTGCCTGTTTAAGGGTTCATAATAGATACAATGCGCATAGAACCGATGGTAGCTTGATAAAATTAATTTTACCAAAAGAAACATTTTATAGTTCCGGAACTTTCCACAACAAATACTCGCACAGCTATTTTCAGTATCGCAGAGTACAATCAGTAGTTACACTTTAAACTGCTAAGAACGTTAAACACAGCGTAATGCAGACAGCATCTGAAAGGCGAAGCTCGCACGAAGATATCTCTATAGTCCGTACTCAGAGCTGAACTAAACAACTGATAGCAGATGCACTCTCCGGTCTTATGTAGATTTTTCCCGACGAGAAATCTATAGTAGCTTCCATTTTTCGAAATTACTGGAAGGCATTTACAGTTAAAGTTACTTGTAATGACTGGATGCGGTTACAGTTACATATACAGATCAATTACATTTATTCAGCTATAGTATCAGTTATAAAGGGTGGCGATTTATTGCCAAATTTGGCCACAAAAATTAGTTACCAAAACCGTCGACAGCTTGGCGATGTCTGGCCAGTTTACCGAGATAGCCATTTACATCAGTGTTAAACAGACTTTGCCCTGTAATCTTATTTTTCCGGCTGAGCTTCGACTCTTCAGCTTTTCATGTTACATTATGCAATGGATACTACAATTTTAAACATAACTTCATTAAAATTATTTACATACATAAAAATTCGTAGCAATATTTTATGTAAATTTTAAGCATAAATTTTAAATATATTAATTACTATGTATTGCTTCACCGATTTGAATTTCTGGGCATAAAAATGTTATCCAATATTTAAATATATAATTTTGGAAGCTAAGCCTATTGTGTACAGTAGCTATATGCTAGTTCGCTTTTAATACTTATTAATAATGTTAACCTTACATTTATTTAATTTTTGTGGTCTATATCTATTAATATAAATTCATCAATTTATTTACTTATCTACATACATTTGCTGATTTGGTTAAGTTTTTGGATTCATAATCCAGGTAATTTGATGTTCCTTTATAATTATTCATTTACTTTTACCACAAAAGTTTTTCTAATTATTATTATTTTGAGTTTAAAGAGTTTTAAATTCAATTATTCGTGTATGTTAAAATATTTTGGGCTTTGCTGATATATATCCTATAATATATTATAATATATTAAATATATAATATATATATATATATATATATATATATATATATATTATAATATATTATACCCTTCATCTGTGCTCTTTTTTGTTATTTTTATTTTTTACTTTATATTTCAGAACAATTTTCATTTTTCTTTATTTTTACATATGTTGGATTACATGTTTTACAGCCTCTCTATTTTTAATTTTTTTTGGCAAATTTGAATAAAACAATTTGCATATAGTTTTGTTTTTTCAAGTGTTGGATTGATATTTTTGCAAGTTTGGATTTCGGAATCGATCTAATTAAAATATTTTTAAAAAATTTCTATTTTTTGCGATCTTTCTGAATTTTGATATGTTTTGTTGCTACAATTTGTGCGCTGCTTACTTCGGCCTGTAGGAGTTTGGACTGATAAAGGCGCAGATTACTTTGATTGTTTTTCTAGGAATATTTTTAAATATTAATTTGTGTCCTTGTCAATTCAGATACAGGCTATTTCATTTATTTACTTCTTTCGTTGCGCTAACCGCCTGATGACGATGCAGCGAAAGATATAAATATTATTTTTCATTTTGCTTCTCGCATGTTTTTGTTCCCCTATTTCTGAAGTTTGCCACTGTGCGTCTGTTTTTGGTATTCGTATGTGATTTATTCCGAATTGAATATACAATGAATTTTAAACGTATTTTGTTTATTTTATTTGACCTATTTACATTGTGTGTTTATGTTTGGGTCTTTGTATTTAATTTCACACATAACATATTTTATTATGTTTTGTAGGTATTAGGTTTACAAATAGAAGGCTTATGGTAATCCTCGATGAACCCTGTCTATTGACGGCATTTTATCAACTATGTTTGCTGATTTCCTGTCTTGTGGCAGAGTCCGGTAAATCACTTCTCGCATTTTTTTTTTTTCTTTTGTAGTGAAATGAAATCTAATTTTAGTCGCATAATGATCTCTTAAAGTAAAAATTAGGATCCTGTGTACATATGTAATTTAAATCTTTAAAGTCTTTACTTAATATGCCTTTATCAGAGTCTCTCATTTCTATTTTTTTTTTCTATTTTTGTAATTCGAAAATAGTCAATTATTTTCGATTACTGTATAAAATGTTGTTCTGGTAAAATGAATCGTGGGTTCCATTATATTTCGGAAACTAACGGAATTTAGAAGCAGCATTTATCCTCTATATGCCTTGGCACATAGATGCAGTTCAAGGATGTGAGATTGATGCAAACAGAGAAATTACAAAGACCATTACTAGATTGAGAACCAGCCGTTTTAGAGGAATGAAAATTAATGAAGATGGTACCAGATTACATAGAACTTTTAGAAACTGCCCCAAAACGGAGCTTTCTCCAGAACACATTTTCACCTGTCGGGCAATACTTGCAGCTCTTCAATGCTTGGGGAAATTTCCTTTTCAGGGAGAGCTGCATAGTGAAAAGATCGTGGAAATGGCAAAAGCTGTGATTTCCACGCATGGATCCATTTGACTTCTCAAAGGACACGACATCAACCAACCAACATAGATGCAGCTGGAAACCTAAGACAGCTAAAATCTAATTGCAGCATCTTGAAACCCAAGATATTTTAACTCATATTCTAAGTGTTCTCACACATATCTGAGTTGTTCTTTCAAATCGGCTCTTCTGGAAACTTTTTGTCTAGCGGTGACCACTTGCCAATAAGGCTTGTCATGCCTGTGTAGGCTTTAGCCAACTATCGAGTTACTTATTCCTGCGTAGCCTTTGGACTAACTTAAGATTTAACTTAGTTTTAAATTTGAATTTCTTGTCTTTTGAGTTACGGCATAAATGCTGGCTGGTTTTGTACGCACAAGACGTGCCTTCTGTTAAATTACTTTGAGCTCTGAATGAAATGATCTTTTACACCCTTCTTGAATTCTGTTTCATCTTAAACCCAGCGATAAGTCACTTGCACGTCTATTCAAGGATTTGCCACAAATTACACTTAGTTACAGGCACAGTCCCTACAAAATGTATATTAATAGACAAATTATGTATAGCTGACAAAACAATAATGGATTATAACCATTGTAATTGTACTCATAGCGTTCTAGACAGAGCATCGGGTGAAATTAGAGGGTTTAACAAAAGAATATAAGTAAACAAAAGTTTTTTTCCCGAAGCGCAAAAACGGAGCCTGTAGAATATTGATTGGCTTATTCAATAAAGAGACGTCAGTTTCTTCAGATTCCGAAGCAATGATTGGCGCAAATTTAGCAGGATCTAAGCCAATTTTTGGGATTTCGTGATAGCCAGCTTTCACAGTCGACCAGATAGTATGTAGTACCCATCGAGAAAATAAACCTCAAGATTAAGTTTTTTTTTTTTTTTTTCATTTACTTGATTTATTAGACTTGTATCGTTTTAAATAAATATAGGTGTCTGCTTAAAAATAATATTCTTAAATCTTTTTTTTTTCCTTTATTAATGCAGATTTGGAATTTTGCTTTAGTCAATAATTTCTTTATAAAATATTTTTTTTTCTTTTATGTTTGTTATCTTTATATGAAGAATTCGAGATTTGAAATTCGAAATTTTCGGAACCTTTTTAGACTCAAATGAAGATCTGAATTCGAGAAAATTTTGAATTTATCTCAACGTTGCTTTACTAACTGCATTATATAGAATGTGAAAATAGTTTTTGCACGTATTGGGAGGGGGGAAAAGGGCTGGCTCGCTTTATTACAGTATTCACTTTATTGCACTGGAATAGAGCTGAACTCACTGTATGTGAAAATCTGTCAGAATTTGTATAGCCACTTAAAATAGATATGAATTCAAGAAGCGTTGTTTTTACACTTTTTTAAATAATATAAGTTTCGGAAATTCAGTTAAAAGGGCAGTAAGACCAAATTAACATTCCAAAAAGCGTTTTCCAATTTTTATTTTAAAAATAAGCTGAGTATTGCCGATTCCAACAATATATAGCATGTTTGGATTTGAAGTGCCGAACGTTAGTATATTAGATAAAATATATAATTAATTGAGTTTTGCCTTTATTTTAAAGGAGCACTTTTTGAAAGGTTTGCTTTAAGTAGTTTTACTGCGAATTTTCAATATATTTTTTTATTATAAATTTTTTTCAATCTTTATTTAGTCAATATGCTCGATCTATATGACCAATGTTATGTATAAAGATTTCATTTCAGAATCAGATCTGTTATTAGCAATGAAATTTTTGAGAAATTTGAATTCCAAGAGGCATTTATTTTGAGTCTCATCTCAGATGGAGTCAAAACTCCTGAAAATACATTTGTTGGTATAAATATGTTGAACACTGGTAAATTAGATACAGTTAAATGTTTTTAAGACATAATGTATGACTCGGATTTTTGTCGAACTGACCTGATTTGAAAATTAATTCAGCAGCACAAAGTGCAAATAATTTCAAAAATCGATCAAATAATTTTTTTTAATTTGAAGCAATGATTTAAAAAAGCGCTAAAGAAAAAAGAATACGTAAGAGAAAAATTTAAAAGAAAAAAAAAAAAAGGTTAATCTGTAGAACTATTATTATAACATGATTTTGATGCAGGGAAAAAAAAAGAAAAAAAAATTGGGGGGGGGGGAGTACAGATAAAAGTAACTTAGTGGTTTCACGGTTTTCTCAAAATGTTCTTTTTTCATTAGTTAGGTTCATTTTCATAAAATTATATAAACAATACAAATCTAAAATTTTATTTTATAACGTTACTTAGTTAAATGTCTTGAGTGGTTTGATTTTACTTTCCTTACAAGAAGAACAAAATTATTAAATCACTGATTTCAGTTTAAAAACATTCTGTATTTTTCAGTTTTCAAATCATCGTACATTAAAAAATGTTTTTCACTTTTATTCTAAGCGTGTTACAATAAAAATAAATTTACTTGAATTTCTTGTTATATTTATAAATATCGATGCAAATTGAAAATACTTCCGTGACAAAAAATTGTATTTATATGTATAACTATATACTGTCATGTATTTGGAATTCATGGCTTCAAGCATTTCTTTCGAAAAATATATTATTCACATTAAAATATAAATTTTTAATTTAATATTATAAAAATAAAATTAAAAAAAAGCTAAAAGGTTTCAGATTTTAAATTGCGTCCAAAGAGGCGCTTTTTAACGTTTTCTGTGTTACCTTTATTTATTAAATACCATGTTCTTTGCACTTAAACCATAAAAATCAGTTCAACAGCAATGTTAATTTTAAAATGAGCCTATCTTTAGAATTTCCGACTAGGTGCCGTTGTTTTATCACAATGCGAGAAACATACATACGTTTATGCAGATTCTTCCTCATTTAATTTTTTCAAATATAATACAGAGCGATAGTATAGGGTGACAACGATTTGAAAAGTGATATGTCATTTATAGGGTTCCGACGCATAATCGCAAAACGAAAACAATAGTTCTTCAGGGACAAAGACCCTTTGGACTAATAATAATGTACAATTTCTCTAAATAAACTTTTAACTATGAATGTATGAAACTATTTTAGTTTCGAAGTAATGATTCCAATTTTAGTTTCACTGAAAAAAATTTCTGTGTTTTTCGCTGTCAAGACTTTTTTATTCTTCTTAAATTGCATGTTTTTGTTTAATTTTCTTACAGTTTTGTATGTACGCCACGAATGATATAGAATAAAGAAGAGCATGAGAAGTCCTTATTCGTTCTATGACGCCATTTTCCCAATCACGTGAATTTGCGGCTTCAAAGGGTTGCACATTCACTCCTTCCGGCACCAATCGTCGACAACTTTCACCCCTCGAGCTGACGAATCGGCGAGCTTCTTTCTTTTGAAGTGGACCAACGGGAAGTTCAAAGCTATGTAAATGAGGAGGGATCGTGAATGACGTCATATCGCCATGACAACCAGCTAATTTCGTAAAATTATGACATGTGTTCCATAAGTAACTTCTAAACAGTGCGCATACCGTGTTGATAGCGAAATCGGAAACCGATATATCAACGTCCTGCGATTTTTGAAAGGCGCTGTTATTAATATTCGATTCTTTTTTCATATTCGTGCGTAATTGCTGCACTTACGAAATGAAAAAGATCAATCAAAATAAGATGATTGAAATTTTTCTTCATTTTAATCTTCTGAAAGAAGAGGAGAAATTAAGATAAGTGTTATGTTTTTAGAGCATTTGCCGGTGATTTATGACGTCTTTGGATTCACAAAATTGGAGATTTTTCATGTTTTGAAGTATAATTAATTTTAGGCTGCTATAAAGAAATATTACGCCGGGTGCTTTTAAGCGCATCACCTTGAGATATTGGGAGATTTTTAATCAAATTTACTCGGACAACCTTAACGTTGAATTATAAATCAAATGTCAAAGTTTGTACCTTTTTTTTTAGTTTTCTAAATTAACTTCTCTACAAAATTGGAAACGAAAATAAATGACTGTATGATATTAATTATTGTCACTCTTTCTCACACTATTGATCTAAACTAAAGTTTAAAAATAAATTAACTAAAACGGATTTATGTTAAAACTTTTATGCACAGTATTTATAGTTTCTGAATCCTATATTTGCCTTAATAAGTACAATTAAAAACTTTAAAGTGATTTGATTCTTTTTTTGCGAAAACGAAATTCAATATTGCGATATTCATCAAATCTGAGGTATTTGCGATTTCCAACAGGATATAAAATCTCTACGAAAAGGAAATAAGTTGCAATGAACCTTTTAATGACAACTTCTTCTAAAAATAACCAATATTTCTGAAAACACAAATAAATACAGTATTAAACGTCGCCTCTTTAAGATGTCAAGGTCACCCGTACGAAAGACCAAAAGTCTTCTGGAACCATAAATGCTCATGTTCTCTAAGACAAGATTATTTAAATAGACCAAAA